CATTCTTTTGGAAAGATAAAATAAAATTTGATCATGTGGATAACTTGGCTTGCATTACCATCAAGAAAAGACTTCACTGGATTATACTTAGTCAAAACACTGAAGTAAAAATTTGGTAACTTGTACATTAGTACAATACATATCTGTGTTTTTCCCTGTGTTGCTTTTTACTCTCATTTCCTTATTCTGTGTTCATTATTTGAATCAGAATCCTTCTGTTCCTTTTAGGAACTATTATAAGAGGCTTTAACTAGGATACTTTTCATCATTAGTCTGTTTCTGGTCAGGTTAACTGCTCTTCAGTATTTTGCTTGGTCCTGACACATAGGCAGCAGTCTTTTACGATCCTCACTCCTTAGTTGAAGACTTTTATTCCCTTCTTGCTATTTCATTTCTAGTGGGGAACCTTACTTAGTGGGAACAATAGAGTGGGAAGAAAGCCCTGAAGACGATGTCAGAGCCTTGGGGAGAATTTTATAGCCTGTTTAAAAAAGTTTCTTTCATTTTGTTTTTGTGTATTCCTACCAGCCTGTAACAAAAGAAGGTAAAAAACTGAAACCCAAATAACTTTTCCTTTTGAAATGTTTAGAAGAGAAATACTTGGGAATTATAGCCTAAAATGAGGGTTTAGAATTAGTCCTTCACAAAGCGTGAGTAATAGTAAGTTGACTGTACTTGTTAATAACCTGATGAGAGAAATTACTCTTATTGGGGAATTTATCTAAAAATAATGTACTTGAATAGAAGTATGTATGAAAATAAGCCAAAAAGATTATTGATAACATTAGATTTTCCAAGACATAAATCTATTTTGCTTGTGTAGTGATGATTAAATGAGTAGTGTGTTAAATGTTATTTAGAATAGAATTTTAGCAAATTTCAAAGAAAATTCTAAAACTTTTTAATTGAATTACCAGTGTGGATATAGAAAAGTATACAGATAACTAGTGTATAGCTTGATGGATTTTTACGAACTGAACATAACCAGGTAACCAAAACTCTGATTAAACAGAACATTACCAGTATTTCCAAAACCCTCCTTGTATCCTTCATAACCATCATCCTGGTTTCAAACAGTATAGATTAGTTTTTTTTTATTGTTATATGTAAGATTAGTTTTTCCTATTTGTTATATGTAAGATTAGTTTTTTCTATTTGTTATATGTAAACGGACTCATATACTACATACTCTTGTGTTTGGCTTCCTTTGCTTGATGTTGTGTGTGTGAGGTTCATTCACGTAGTTTCTTTATTCTCATTGTAGAGTATCCAGTTGTGTGAATACCAAATTCATTGATCCTATTGTTGCTTGTCATTTGAATAGTTAAGGACATTTCTTCTTAAGTTTCAGACCTTTTTTTCAGGCAGTTGTTATCCCTGCCCAGAAACTGTAGACGTGAAGTGCAGTTGTGGTAATACAAAGGTGACGGTGCCCTGTGGCCGGGAACGTACCACAAGACCACCCAAGTGCAAAGAGCAATGTAGGTTAGTATGAGGTTCTGCGCAGACTTACACCTGGTGTCTTAGCAAATTTAAATTCATATTGATTTTAAATATTGTTAGTATTTTAAATTTTGCATTAATGTTCTAAAATACTAGTATTCACAGTATTCTTGTTCTGTATGGAATCAGAAGATACTTAAATAGATAATTGCACTTTAGATATAATTGTTCATTAATCAAAAGTAATTTAAAAAATTGTACTTTATGATTTAGTCGACCACCAACTTGCCATCATACAAGTCAAGAAAAACATCGCTGTCACTTTGGCTCTTGTCCTCCATGTCATCAGCCTTGCCAAAAAGTTTTGGAGAAATGTGGTCACTTGTGTCCTGCTCCATGTCATGACCAAGCATTAATAAAGCAAACTGGCAGGGTAAGGGAATATATTATTAAGAGGTAGTGCATTTCTGTGGGTCATATTTTCTTAATTTTACTTAGTCATTCAACAAGCAATGATTAAGTACCTACTGGGTGTTAAGCACTGTGATAGGAGCTGGGGTACAAGGTAAATATGACTTGATCTTTTGTCCTAAGAAGCTCACGGCGTAGAAAAGACGAGAAACCAGTAAACGGATGTTTGCTAATAACATGTGGTAATCATGTTATCATCCTGATACACATGAGTTTGGCAGTCTTCCTTCATATATTGTGGTCCAGGGTTATAGATATCTTCTGGTTTCCTCAAAGATTCATTCACTTAGTGAATATTTATTGAGTCCTTACTATGTGTTAAGCATTCTCCTACCTGCTAGGGACGTAACAGTGAACAAATAATGGAGATTACATTCTACTGGTGGAAGTTGGATTTTACAGTGCCGTTTCTCATTCCCCTTTTGGCTAATAAGAAGTAAAGGAAGCTACTTTGTCTTTGTTCTGCCATTTAAAAACTGGAGTCTGCCTTCATTTGTAGCATCAGATGTGTGTGGAGGGGAACATCTGATAGAGTACAGATGGGATAAAATATTTCAGTAAGCACAATTTGTTGGTTACTTGAAAAAATTTCAGCCTGCTTGAACAGAGGATATGTGGGACTATTTTCTTAGATTCTTATATTGGCCATATGATTTAATTCCTCTGCCTTTAAATTGTTTTGTATTTTACTTGTAGCACCAGCCTACAGGCCCTTGGGAACAGCCTTTGGAGCCAGAGTTTATTCAGACTGCATTACCGTGTCCTCCATGTCAAGTTCCTATTCCTACGTAAGTATTTTAGAATTTTAACTTAAAAATAATTTTTTTTTACATAATTCTAAGTTTATCTTAAATTACCTTCTCCCCTTTTTCTGTGTTCAGTTCATCATTTTTTTCAGGCCTAGTCCATAAACCAGTCTCTCTGTCTTCAGCCTAATTCTTTTCTAAGTACATTCTTGAAAACCTCTAGATATCTTTTTTTGAGTCTTTTCCCCAGCTGGAGTTTAATGTCCTTCTGAATTTCCATAGCAACTTGCACTTAGAATAATTCATCCAAGAGATCATCATCTGTTAGTTTTCCTGATACCCATGCTAGTCTGTGAGCTACTTGAGGACAGAGGAGAGCCAGGTTGTAGGTAAGGCATACTTGAAGGAAACATTGAAAATCAAAGAAAGTAGTGTTCTGGAATGTAGTATTCCCAGGTAATGACCTGGACTGGGTTGTAAGGAGTCAAACCCTAGGGTGATATGAATCGTGGAATGGTTCATACTTTGAGTAGAGGTTATAGAATATAGGAGTAAAAGAAGCACAGAATTCTGGGAACTAACGTAAAATTAGAAAACAGGTTGTTTTCTACCATTAAGATTCCAAACTGAATATTGGTATGTCTTGTGTATCTTTTTAAAGAGACAGTTCTAGGGCCATAGGCTTAAAGATACAGTTATTTCCTTTTAAAAGCTCTCCCATTATGTCCTTCCACATCTTTCCTCTCAGTTTAAGTAGAATGTATATTTTTATATATTGGTTGTGCAGTCAGGTTGGGAGGCAAAGTGTTACTGGGAGCTGTATCTACAACATAGTGATTTTAGTCTGTAGATTAGTCGGGGGGGGGAATTCATAGTCACTTAAATTGTTTGTATAAGTGTAGTCAGTTATCTTTGAATTCCTTAGTCTGTCTTACAGGAGGATTATTTAACAGATATTCCCCTCTTATTTCATTCAGTTAATTTCCTCAAAATCTTAGGTTGGATTAAATATTTTATGACAGTAGAAAAACTGCCTGGAATTACTAAGTCATGTTTACTAGAGGTTTAAAGAATTAATTTTATTTATCTTATTTATTTATTTATTTATTTTAAGATTTTATTTATTTATTTTAAGATTTTATTTATTTGACAGAGAGAGACACAGTGAGAGAGGGAACACAAGCAGGAGGAGTGGGAGAGGGAGAAGCAGGCTACCCGTGGAGCAGGGAGCCCGATGTGGGACTTGATCTCAGGACCCTGGGATCATGACCTGAGCCGAAGGCAGTCGCTTAACCGACTGAGCCACCCAGGCGCCCTAAAGAATTAATTTTAAAAGTCTTTCCTTTGCACTTGACTGGAATGTGCTGCTGAAAGGTTTTTTTGGGGGTATATATATATATATATATATATTAAGACATTGTGTTTTAGAGTAAGGACTCTTGAGTCCAGTGTTATGCTTCCTGCTAACTACTACCATGAATAAGTCATATATCCTCTCTGTTTGTAAAATAAGGATATTCAAGATATTTACAAAGATGTCAGTGGGGAAGAGAGAAGTTTTGGAGGGAGGTCTTTATCAAAAAAATATTTGTTGTGTCTAGTAAACAATTTTTTTCTTAGTCTATTTTTTCTGATGTTAGTATAGCCACATTTACCCTCTTTTGGTTACAATTTACATGAAGGAATGGACAGATTCTTAGAAACACAAAAACTTCTGAAACTGACTCAAAGAGAAGTAGAAAATCTAAATAAACTTACACCTAGTAAAGAGATTAAACTAATAACCAAAAGCCTACCACAAAGAAAAGCTGAGGATGAATGACTTTACTGGTGAATTCTACCAGACATTTAAGAAATTAACACCAGTGTTTCACTATGGGGAGACACTTCCTGACTTACTCAATGAAACTTGTATTTCCCTGATACTAAGAGCAGAAAAAGACATCACAAGAAGAGAAAACTATAGATCAATATTCCTTTTATATATAGATATAAAAATTCTCAACCAAATACTAACAAACTGCATCTAGCAACATGTAAAAAGGATTGTACATCATGACCAAGAGGGATATATCCCACAAATAGGAGGTTGATTCAACATAAGAAAACCAAAATACCAAAGTGCTATTTTTTCATAAGAATAATGGACAATCAATAGATGCAGAAAAACATTTGACAAAATCCTACATACTTTCTAGATAAAAACACTCAATAAACTTAGATAAACAAACTCCCTCAACCTGTTAAAGGGCATCAGTGAAAAACCCTTAATCATACTTAATGGTGAAAGCCCAAAAGCTTTCCTGTTAAGAACAGGAAAAAGAGTAGGATGTCGACGTTGGACAACAAAGATGGCTGCAGGAACCAGCAATTATTGGGAAGATCTCAGGAAACAAGCTCGACAGCTGGAAAATGAACTTGACCTGAAACTAGTTTCCTTCAGTAAACTATGTACAAGTTACAGTCATAGCAGTGCCTGAGATGGAAGACACGACAGCTCTGACACAACACCCCTTTTAAATGGATCAAGCCAAGACAGAATGTTTGAAACAATGGCAATTGAGATTGAACAACTTTTGGCAAGGCTTATAGGAGTAAATGATAAAATGGCAGAATATACCAACAGTGCAGGTGTCCCATCTTTGAATGCAGCACTGATGCATACATTACAGAGACATAGAGATATATTGCAGGATTATACACATGAATTCCATAAAACCAAAGCAGACTTCGTGGCAATACGGGAAAGGGAGAATCTCATGGGATCAGTACGAAAGGATATTGAGTCATATAAAAGTGGGTCTGGAGTAAACAACAGAAGAACTGAACTATTTTTTGAAAGAACATGACCACCTTCGAAACTCAGATCGTCTGATAGAAGAGACAATAAGCATTGCTATGGCATCAAAAGAAAATAAGACTTCCCAGAGAGGAATGTTGAAGTCGATTCAGAGCAAAATGAATACTTTGGCCAGTCATTTTCCTGCTGTGAACAGCCTGATCCAGCAGATCAATCTGAGGAAGCGGCGAGACTCCCTCATCCTGGGCGGTGTCATTGGCGTCTGTACCATCCTGTTGCTGCTGTATGCTTTCCATTGATGGAACATCTCCGGGGACTCTGGACAGCCACCACTTTCCCACCCTGATCTGGAATAAGGAAAAGTAGGAAGGAGAAGTTGATTGTCCTGATGATTAGCCTCACCAGCAGGATTAATTCACGACTGATAGCTCTGGACTCTGTCACGTGGTCAGATTGAGCTGAAGCCACAGTTTTTCTGTGCTCTCTTTTCTAACACACATTTCCTTCTGTTTTTAGTTTAAAAAAAAAAAAAGTTTTCAGTTGCTTTTGTCCTCCCAGGAGGTAAGTAAACCAATCAGAAACAGAGTTTCTGTGCTTCAGTAATTGTGTTGAAGGCTGATGACAAGCCAGGTCTTAGAGCTGGACTTCTCAGAAAACCAGGTTTCTCTGTATCCAAAGACTGCTTTCCTTTTAGCCCCCGGATTGGGTTGTGAATAAAAATAGTTCTTGTCCTTTTATTTTACACTCATGATGAGAAATCACAAGTCATTTCTTGATAAGCTGTGCTATAAATTTCTACTCTGCGTCCCTGTTTTGGTATTCAAGGAAAATTACATTTTTCACAGATTCTTTGAGATGCCAACAGGTCAACTTCAACACAGTTGAGGTTGTCTGAAACAGAAGACAAACACTGCAAAAAACCTTTTTTTTCCTTCTTCTTTTTGTAAATTGTATGCACACTAGGGTTGACTGTATTACTGGAAAAGCATCAAGAATAACAGGCTTTTTTTGTCAGTCATTGTTTTGATTTTTTGTTTATATCTTCCATTGGATTAATATTTCCTACTACAAGTAAATGAAATTTCGGTTCTACCATGATAAAAGTAACTAATAGCCAGTGTCTGTCATTGCCCCCACCAATTCCTCATCATGTCAGGATTAACCCTGAATGAGGGGACTGCTCAGTTTTCAGTGAGATCTATTCAACAAGCCACATGTAAAAAGACATTGATTTGCGGGGTCACCATCCAGATAATTCCATTTATAAATGCTCCATGATCTAGGAGCAAAAGTTTGAGAACTACTGCCTGATGTATTAGGAATTCTGAGTTTTACGAAGACCTATTTACTCCAAATCTGTTTTTTCCAAACATCCAGAGAATGGTTTTACTGTTGAAGGTGCATGTGACGGAATCTCTCTCTGCACCTGTCTTCTATCATCTGGACAGTGACAAAATTTTAAACCACCCACCAGAATTCTTTTCAGGTTTAACCATTTCTCCGTTTCTGTAAATGTATGACTTGTCTAACTGAACTACCACAAATAGCTTGAAGACTTCAACATCTGCACTCCTCACCAAGTAAGAAGGTTGCTCTTCACCATTGGAATTGACTCTGGTACTTACAGTATTGGCTTCAGACTGTGCCACAGGGAATAAAAGGATATTAGCATGTAGTTCTTAACTGCATTACAGTGTGTAGATGATGACATTCAGATGAACTTAATACACAGGCTGATGGCTATGCTAACCGCTGGTCTGGTACAGAAACTGAGAGGTTTTTCCTTCTGGTGTCTAAGTTTTATTATGTCCTGGGTATGAAAGGCATTTGATACCTTTTTTTTTAAACTATGGGGTTTATTTTTCTAAATATGGGTTGATCGATCAGTTACTTGATTGGGGATGCCCTTAAAAGAAAGTAAGTTTTCCCAACGTGACCCTTAAAGGATTAGAGAAGTTCATTTATTAAATTCTCTGTTGGGAGAACAAAACTTCTCTCCCCTGACACTTTATTATTATCTTTGATTTTTCAAAGGGCCTTGATTGGTGGTTGTGCCTCAGCTAGAATTTATGGGACTTTCGTTGCTGTATGGTTGGCATTTATAAAATCTGAAGTATCATAAATAAAGTTATTTATTTAATTATACTAAAAAAAAAAAAAAGAGTAGGATGTCTGCCCTTGCCCTTTCTATTTAGGTTTACATTGTATTAGAGGTGCTAGCCAGAGCAATTAGACTAGAAAAAGAAAGAATGTATTCACATTGGGAATAAAGAAGTAAAACTATTTGTATTTTTAAATGATATGACCTTGTATATGAAAAATCCTTACACAGACTGTTAGAGATGATAGGATTTTTCATATACAAAATCATGTAGTATACGGAAGTCAATGGCTTTGGTAAGGCTATAAGAAACATTAGTATACAAAAGTCAATTCTATACCCTAGCAATGAACCATCTGAAAATGAAATTAAGAAAACAGTTCTACTTCCAGTAGCATTAAAAAAGCAACTTGTTTATTCAACAAATTTAATTTAAAAAATCTAAGATTTTGTACACTGAAAACTATAAAACATTTTTGAAAGAAATTAAAGAAGACCAAAGGCTGTGGTACTGGCAGATAGATAGACATATGGATCAAGGGAATAGAATTGAGAGTCTGGCCATAAATGTAGGAATTTATTTCTAATTAGTTTTTGATAACAGTGATTTAATAAATGGAAAGACATCCCATGTTTGTGGATGGGAAGACTTAATGTTAAGGGCACTACTACCCAAAATGATATACAAATTTAACATACTCTCTGTCAAAATCACAGCAGGCTTTTATGCAGAAATTGTCCCCAAAATTCATATGGAAATGTGAAGGACCCAGAATAGCCAAAATCTTCTTAAAAGTGAAAACAAAGTTAGAGGACTCACACTTCCTGATTTTAAACTTATAAAACTATAGCAGTTAAGAATCTGTGGTATTGGTGTAGGGACACACATTGATCAATGGAATAGAATTGAGAGGCCAGAAGGAAACCCATATGTTTATGGTCAATTGATTTTTGATAAGAGTGTCAAAACAGTTCAGTGGGAGGAAGAATGTTTCATGTCAACACATGGTGCTGAGAGAATAGATATTCACAGGGGAAAAAAAATGAAATTGGACCTCTACATCACAACATATATAAATATTAACTCAAAATGGATCAAAGATCTAAAAGTAAGAGCTATTAAACTCTTAGAAGAAAACATAGGTGTAACCCTTTGTGTCCTTGTGTTAGGCAGTGATTTGTTACATAGGACACCTAAAGCATAAGCAACAAAAGAAAAAATAAAGTCAGGACATTATTAAGCACAATTTCTTAATTGTGCTTCAAGGACACAATAAAAAAATTGAAAAGACAACCCACAGAATGGGAGAAAAAGTTTGCAAATCATATATTCTGTAAGAATATTATCTAGAATATATAAAGAATTCTTAAACTGAGAAACAAAAAGACAAATAATCCAATTTAAAAATGGGCAAAATCTTTGAATAGAAGTTCCTCTGGAGATCTTACAAGTGGCCAGTAAACATGTGAAAAGATGCTCAAGTAATTGTTAGGGAAATGCAAGTCAACACCATGTTAAGGTGTCATTTTACACTCACTAGGAAGGCTAAAATAAAGAAGATATAAGTGTTGGTGAAGATAGGGAGTAGTTGGAACCATCGTACATTGCTGATGGGAATGTAAAATGGTGCAACTACTTGGGAAAGCAGTTTGGTAGTTTCTCAGGAAACTAAACTTGGACTTACCAGTTTTACTCTTAGGTATACACCTGAGAGAATTGAAAATATGTGTTCACAAAAAAACTTGGACACGAATGTTACAATAATAGGAGCATTATTATGAATAGCCAGAAAGTGGAAACAAATACCGATTGATTGATGAATGGATAAACAAAATGTGGTATATCCATGCAATGGAATATCATTCAGCTATAAAAATGCATGAATTACTGATACCTGCTATAACATGGATGAACCTTGAAAACAGTATTCTAAGTGAAAGAAGCCAGACATGAACGGCCACATAATGTTTGATTCCATTTATATGAAATGTTCAAAATAGGCAAATCCATAGAGATAGAAAGTAGATTAGTGGTTGCCAGGGGCTATAGAGTGACTTCTAATAGTTACAGGGTTTCTCTGTTGATTATGAAAATATGCTCGATACTGGTGAGGGTTCCATAACCTTGTGAATATACTAAAAACCACTGAATTGTACATTTAAAAGTATAAATTTTATGGTATGTGAGTTTTATCTCCATTTTAAAAAGGAGACAAACCTACCCATAAAGATCCTTCTAATTCTGATAACAATGATTTTTCAGTGGATGTGTAATAAAATTATTATAAAGTATATGTTAAAATTATTACTTGTCACATGAACTATCCAGGTATTATGATTTCTTTCTTAGAGTAGAATATTCATGTCTTCTTGTCCCTTTACATGACTTTTAATCATAATTTGGCTATGTGGTAAAAGAATTCTGAATATACGTGTTAAATCATTTGCAGTGCCTTTGGCTTCAAGTTATAAAGAACCTAAATAAAAAGTGACATAATAATGTTTATGCCTTGCATGGTTAGATTGGAGGTAGAGCAGCTTCGTGGTTGGTTAAGCTGGTTAATGCAATGATACATCATCAAAGGCCCAGATTCTGTCTATTTTATCCTCAATGTGTCATCTTTGCCGTCAGGCTGTTTGGTTTTCTGATCAACCTCCCATCCAAATAGGAAGTTTCCAAAAAGAAAAACAGAAACTGTTTATGCCTTCTACCATCATCATCTTTTTTTAAAGAGTGAGAAGCCTTTTCCAGAAGCCCCATAGCAAAACTCCTTCCACATTTCATTGGCCAGAATAGGATCATAAGACAATTTCTAAACCAGTCCCTGGAAAGGGAAGTGGAATGTTTATTTTTAAATTCTTTTAAATAGACTTTATCTTTTTTAGGTGATTTTCGGGTTTACAGAAAAATTACACAGACAGTACAGAGTTCCCATATGATCTGCCACACATACTTTCCCTTGTTATTAACATTTTGTATTAGTGAGGTACAGTTTTTTTACAATCGAGGAACTGATATTGAATAATAACAATATTATAAACTAAAGTCCATAGTTTACATTAGGGTTTACTTTTTGTGTTGGACGGTTCTATGAGTGTTGATAAATGCATGATCTCATGTATCCACTATTCACCATTACAATAACATACAGAATAGTTTCACTGCCCTAAATGTGTCCAGTGCTATACTTGTTCATCTCTTACCTTCTCTCCCTCAAGCCACTGGTAATCGTTGCCCTTTTTAATGTCTCTGTGGTTTTGCCTTTTCCAGAATGTCACCTAGTTGGAATCATACAGTTTGTAGGCTTTTCAGCATATTTCATGTAGCAATATGCATTTAAGTTTCCTCTGTGTCTTTTAGTGTCTTGGTCGCTCATTTCTTTTTATTGCTGAATAATATTCCATTGTATGAATGTACCACAGTTTGTTTATCCATTCACCTATTGAAGGACATTTTGGTTGCTTCCAAATTTTGACAGTTATGAAAAAAGCTGCTATAAGCATTGATGTATAGATTTTGCTGGATCATATCGTAAGC